TTAGTGTATATCCCTGTGCTTATGCACGCCACCTCCATTAGATGGCACAGAAATATGCAAAGAGTTCTACGTTCTTATCCTTTTCGCCAAGAACCTTTTCACCTATTATCGGTTCTCTTCTTATGTTCTTTGCTCAGAAGCTGTCAGTTCAAGTCTTTTCGACATCTCAACCAGATAAGTAAGCATGAAAGTATTTCAAATTCTATTAGTGAGTTCAATTTATTATCCAATATCTGGCCTTGTATTGTTTTGATTGCACACTAGTCAGTAACTAGTGTAATGTATCTAATCTTACTTATCTTGGCTGCAGACTGAATTCTATCAGTCAAGCTTGCAATGTGGCCACCATGCTAGGTGTCTCGCCAAAATATCCAATTCAGTCCTACAGGAGGTCAATCGCGAGCCTGAATAGCTAAATGGTAACGTCTCTGACTTCAGCACTGGGTGACGCGGGTTCGAATCTCAGAAGGGACATCAGTTCCTTCAAGGTTGCAGACACGCCTTGTTGATGAGTGCCAACTAGCACGAAACCTAGGTCCGAGGCTTCCTGCCGATTGCCTCCAACCATCTAATGCCAACAGTCTGGCCTTGTAATTGATTCACAGTTCAATCGTTACAAAGGCGTTTTTGTATTGAATATATACCATGTTCGATGATGCTGCGAAAGTTCGATTATTTTAACGAAAACTTGGTTCTGTCGAGCACAACAAATATTTTAGTTTTATTCTGCCAAAGAATTCACGTGAACTGTCTCATTCGATGACACAGTCACCATTTTATCTCAGAAGTGTTTGGTGAACAATCATCCATGTTCAGAATTGAGTGTACTAATGTCTTCAGTTACCAGAAGTATATTCCGACGATTATGTCACTTATCCTAGCAAAGTGAACATGCAATGTGAAAAATACAAATCACACGAGATGACATCAGACCAGTTCAAGTGCTTGTTTTTTTATTTGTGGTTTGAAGAGCCTTAAAGATGCTGACATTCTAACTCGACTCCTGTCGTCTACTTTATTCCAAAAACAGTACTTATAATACACAGAATGGAATTCTGAGCATTTGTCACAATATTGCATCTGATTTACTCAGAAAATGTAATTAAAAATTAAAACAAAATTAACCAGAGGAATTTGTCCACATTTACGATATAAACTCAAAAATATTCGGGGTACGAATTGCGAATATTAAATATAATAATAATAACAGTGAGTTTGTTCCAAACAGTATTGGCGATTCAGTTTGAAAATTTTAGCATGTTATAGATTATTGAATCTAATGTTCTGTTGATATAGTGTAGTGAGGGGAAAGGCAAAATTAACAGTCATAACACAGCTTAAATGATGTTTACACTTTTGAGAAAATAAACAAATAAAAACAAAAAACTGCGAGGATTATATATAAGAGGTACAATAACAATAAAGGTTGATGTTATAAGGGTGGAGAATATGGTTGATTTACTAGTACGAAGAAGGTTAGTTAGTTCATGCCTAGCAATATTTTCATCACATAAAGTCCGTGCCAAATATGGTATAGTGGAATTTTTATACTTAGACGTACGTGCATAAATTCTTCTGAAAAGACTTCTTGTTTTACCTGAGGAGGAGACACAAGGTTGGAGCTGCGGGTAGAGTGGGTGCTCAGAGTCTGACTGAATTCATTTAGCGAATTCGTTGCATCAAATCAAGTGCCTATCAATGACGATGTCAACGATATGGCCCAATGGGATACCACTCGCCCTACTGACAGTCTTCAGAGTTCTACGAAGTATAACATAGTCCCTTTTAGGCAATCCAGGAAAGAACAAGCAGAAGTGAACAGTAGAGAAGAATAGGTAAGATGCATGAGTTGACAAACTGTAAGAGGATCCGAAAATGACTTTACAGATGGTGACCGGAGAATGCCAACGTTTAATCGAATTGAAGCATGACACTACTATGGTATGGTGGGGCACAAATCACAGCCGTCTGAATTTGGC